ATGCTGTATGGTGAGGCAGTGTGTCGTATGTGATGTAGTGGTGAGGTAGTGTGTCTGTATGATGCTGTATGGTGAGGTAGTGTGTCTGTATGATGCTGTAGGGTGAGAGTAGTGTGTCTGTATGATGCTGTATGGTGAGGTAGTGTGTCTGTATGATGCTGTAGGGTGAGGTAGTGTGTCTGTATGATGCTGTAGGGTGAGAGTAGTGTGTCTGTATGATGCTGTGGGGTGAGGTAGTGTGTGTATGATGCTGTAGGGGTGAGGTGAGTGTGTCTGTATGATGCTGTATGGTGAGGTAGTGTGTCTGTATGATGCTGTAGGGTGAGGTGGTGTGTCTGTGTGATGCTGTAGGGTGAGGTAGTGTGTCTGTATGATGCTGTAGGGTGAGGTAGTGTGTCTGTATGATGCTGTAGGGTGAGGTGGTGTCTGTATGATGCTGTGGGGTGAGGTAGTGTGTCTTGTATGATGCTGTAGGGTGAGGTAGTGTGTCTGTATGATGCTGTAGGGGTGAGGTAGTGTGTCTGTATGATGCTGTAGGGTGAGTAGTGTGTCTGTATGATGCAGGGTGAGTAGTGTGTCTGTATGATGCTGTAGGGTGAGGTAGTGTCTGTATGATGCTGTAGGGTGAGTAGTGTGTCTGTATGATGCTGTAGGGGTGAGGAGTAGTGTGTCTGTATGATGCTGTAGGGTGAGGTAGTATGTCTGTATGATGCTGTAGGGTGAGTAGTGTGTCTGTATGATGCTGTAGGGTGAGTAGTGTGTGTCTGTATGATGATGTATGGTGAGGAGTGGTATGTCTGTATGATGCTGTAGGGGTGAGGCAGTGTGTCTGTATGATGCTGTATGGTGAGGTAGGTGTGTCTGTGTATGATGTATGGGTGAGACGTGTGTCTGTGATGCTGTAGGGTGGGAGGTGTGTCTGTATGATGCTGTAGGGTGAGGTAGTATGTCTGTATGATGCTGTAGGGTGAGGCAGTGTGTCTGTATGATGCTGTAGGGTGAGGTAGTGTGTCTGTATGATGCTGTAGGGTGAGGTAGTGTGTCTGTATGAGTGGGGTGAGGCAGTGTGTCTGTATGATGCTGTAGGGTGAGGTAGTGTGTCTGTATGATGCTGGGGTGAGGTAGTGTGTCTGTATGATGCTGTGGGGTGAGGGTAGTGTGTCTGTATGATGCTGTAGGGGAGGGTAGTGTGTCTGTATGATGCTGTAGGGTGGTGGAGTGTGTCTGTATGATGCTGTAGGGTGAGGGTAGTGTGTCTTGTATGATGCTGTGGGGTGAGGTAGTGTGTCTGTATGATGCTGTAGGGTGAGGTGGTGTGTCTGTATGATGCTGTAGGGTGAGGTAGTATGTCTGTATGATGCTGTAGGGTGAGGTAGTGTGTCTGTATGATGCTGTAGGGTGGTGGTGTGTGTATGATGTATGGTGAGAGGTGTGTCTGTATGATGCTGTAGGGTGAGTGGTGTGTCTTGTATGATGCTGTGGTGAGGTGGTGTGTCTGTATGATGCTGTAGGGTGAGAGTGGTGTGTCTGTATGATGCTGTAGGGTGAGGCAGTGTGTCTGTATGATGCTGTGGGGTGAGGTAGTGTGTCTGTATGATGCTGTAGGGTGAGGTGGTGTGTCTGTATGATGCTGTGGGGTGGTGGTGTGTCTGTATGATGCTGTGGGGTGAGGCAGTGTGTCTGTATGATGCTGTAGGGGTGGTGGTGTGTCTGTATGATGCTGTAGGGTGGGGTAGTGTGTCTGTATGATGCTGTGGGGTGAGTAGTGTGTCTGTATGATGCTGTAGGGGAGGTGGTATGTCTGTATGATGCTGTAGGGTGAGGTAGTGTGTCTGTATGATGCTGTAGGGTGAGGTAGTGTGTCTGTATGATGCTGTAGGGTGAGGTAGTGTGTCTGTATGATGCTGTAGGGTGAGGTAGTGTGTCTGTATGATGCTGTAGGGTGAGGTAGTATGTCTGTATGATGCTGTAGGGTGAGGTAGTGTGTTCCGTGGAGGTAGTCAGGGAGTGAGATGAAGACTTAATGGGATGTCTTAGGAAGTAAATCTCATTTCATCTATCCACCGAGAGATAGACTACAGAGGATCTAGCCACCAGGGAGAGACTATCTATCCCCTGGGTGTGACGTAGCCCCGGTGGATGCCTGTATTGAACGGCTGCTTTACGTGTTGTGTGGTGGGGTAGTAAATTGAGAAGGGTTTACTCCTGTGTGAATTATTATTATTAATTTTTTTTAATTTTTCCCACAGAGCCGACTAGTTTACTGTGCACCCTCTGCGTTATCCTGTGAGTGGTAGTGAAAAAAAGAGATTACCGATTGGAGATTAGGCTAGTGTTTGGACCTGTCCCTAAAAGGTTCTGTGTGTGTGTGTGTGTGTGTGTGTGTATGTGTGTGTGTGTGTGTGTGTGTGTGTGTTAGAAGAATTACCAAGCTAGGGACGATACAGTACTAAGTCCTATACACAGGCCTATACAATATAAGCTCTACCCACCAGGAAGTGACAGCCCTATCACCTATCCACTGCCGAATAGGAACCTCTCCGCTTGGGGTAGTAGGGTGCTTAATATCATGTAAGAATCCTTATACCATGAGTTCTATATCTATCTATCTATCTATTTCTATCTATCTATATCTTTCTATATATCTATCTATCTATCTGGAAGGCAATCCTCACAGTAGACAGCCAACATTCCTGGACTGGTGTGTGTGTGTGTGTGTGTGTGTGTGTGTGTGTGTGTGTGTGTGGCCGGCGTACAACCTGCATGGATCTGACCGATAATGATAGGGTCGGGTCACGCTACCGAATATCTCCGGCCACGAGACTGAAGAACAAGTGTTCAACTGTGAGGACTGTCTGTAAACTTTGGGTAGACACAAGGATAAGGGAAGGGCTGTACAACTGTAAACACTGTTAAGTTTGTAACTAGTAATGGCATTTTTATTGTAACTGTTGATAATATTGGGATAAACTTAAGCCTAAAATAGTGATGTATAAATTTAAGGCCAATAGTATGTACTGTACTGTATGGTGCTCAAGATATTAAATTTGATATTATTAAAATAACAAATTTCATATTATCTTGGGATCGGAGCCAACTGACACACTGAGTTAGGATTACTACAACATGTAACGTTCTCGTATTGTACGACTATTTGTAAACTGGTACACCGTGGGTAATGCTGGGACAGTCCAGGGGTGTGGTGGTGTGGTAGAGGTATGACACCAAGAGTGTGGCGGTGTAGTAGGTAAGCCACCAGCAGTGTGGTCGTGTAGAATGTGTGGCACAAAGAGTGTAGTGGTGCGGTAGAGAGGTATGACACCAAGAGTGTGGTCGTGTAGAATGTGTGGCACCAAGAGTGTGGTGGTGTGGTAGAGAAATGTGGCATCGGAGTGTGGTGGTATGGTACAGAGGTGTGGCACCAGGAGTGTGGTGTTGTGGTAGAGAGGTGTGGCACAAAGAGTGTAGTGGTGCGGTAGAGAGGTGTGGCACCGGGAGTGTGGTGGTGTGGTAAGAGGTGTGGCACCAAGAGAAACAAACTGGAAGAGTCAAATGTATTTTGTCAACTTGGGTTAGGATTCACAAAGGTTTTTACGTAATTTTCCCCTTACTGGAGATGTTGGAACACCTCGACTGTTTTACTTAATATGACGACAAAATATGATAAAATGGTTACAATATTGTGGTGAGACTCAACCAGCGCCACCCGGGGGTTGTGGGTGTGATGGCTTCTGAGGTCAGTGATGTGAGAACATATCCAACTGGACCAGTTAATCTACGACTCAAAGGTGGACTCCCGAACTATCGCGCGTCAGTTTTCACCACAGATGACAGTGAACATACAACACATCTACCCGTCACAGTTAACCTAAATCAAAAAGATGAAAGTCAACGTGGCGTCGACATTAGACAGAGACTGTACCGTAGCTAGATATGTTTTGATCTGTTGTACACAAAGTTGGGACTCGCAACGTTACTATAACAGTTATTATCATCTTAACCACATATCTGGCGCACTGAACCTACGGCACCAAGATGGCGGTCAAGATGGCGTCTAAGTTGTACTGAGACTGTCATAACAGTGTTGTACCAACTAAGAACTAGATTGTCAAAGTTCCTTAAACCAATTTCCGTCTAATGGGGGGTTGTGAGATCATATCTGGCACTCTTAGTCAACGGCACATAGATGATGGCCAAGATGGCGTCGAATTTGTACTGAGACTTGACCGTAACTAGATACGTTTTCTTATCAACTGTTATAGTAAATCGTGTAATGTACGTTTCTTAGAGACTCTGCCCTGGACCCTTACGTTTATCACAACTTAAGTTACACTCAGAAATATTCTCTGTTGACATAAGGTAAGTTACCGTGTTGACGCGGGTGATCCCTAAGACAAACAAGTAGAGTAGAGTTAGCAGGTTGGAAGGAGCTGAAGACAATGGTGGCGGTGGGTGTGTGACTTGATGTAACCTAAGTGTTATGTCACCCTTGTTGGCTCATACCACCCTTAAAGGAAGAGGGGGAGGGGAGGGGTCGAGAGATGGTGCAAAGTCAACTACCCAAGCAACCAATCATGTGACAGTGATATTAACAGCCATAGACGATCGTTACAGAGATAAAGTGTACATACACTGATGACATTGATTAACATAGGACCACTCCTTCCCGCCCCGGCACTCAAGACACGGCCCTCCCCAACACCAAGACGCCAATATTTCCCTTCGTCTTGCTGATGCAATTTGACGTTTGGGAATGATAGTGACTTTAAAGGACAGGTTTTTCCCTCAAGTATATGGTGATGAAGGTTGTTTGTGGTGGTGGGAGGAGGAGGAGGGTCAACCAATATGGTGGTGAGGGCCAGCTGGCAGTAGCAGTCGACCACCACACGACGGTCACCCTGCCCCACACACCACTCACTCCCACTCACATTTACCCCTCCCATACCCCTCCCAGCCCTCGCAGAGCCCACTCGCTGCCCTAGGACAGCTCTTCCACTCACCTGGTCAGCTTTTGGAGAGGAATGAGAGTGGTGCGAGTGGGTGTACAAGTGTGAGAGTTGGGAGAGTGATTACGAGTCCATGCTGGTGTGTAGACGTCTCCCGCGGCACTGGAAGATGGTCGCGTCACTCTCACAGATCAATACACTCACACCCTGCTAAACCTCCACCGGATTTTGAGTGTGACCTCTTGAGGGCCCACTGGGTATACGTGGGTGAATGTGGACCCGTGGTGAGTGTAGCCAGTACAATACTCCTGGGGGTGTAGACCAAGTGTCACTGCTCCACGCTCAGAGGGACTTCCCTATACCTGGAGGACTGGTGTACCACGGCCTCCACCACCGCCACTCTCCCAACACCAGTAGCCTACATACCAACCCTCTAACCCCGCCACTCATTGGTCCACACCCTGATCAATGCCACCGGCTGACCAATCACAGCACCGGACACATCACCGGGGAGTAGGCAAATCGATATACAGGGCCAGCCTGGGCTGCCTGGGTGCCTTGTACGCAACTCGCAACACACAGTCGCCTAAGAGTCGTATTTTTCCTCTTTATTCGTTTTGCTCTTTCATCCTGACTCTACCTACAGCCTCACATCCTCCTTTAGAGAATTTCTAGCACCCAGCACGAGGTTGCTGGAGGTCGGAGTGGTGTTTTTTCTAAGGCATAAAGTGATAGAAGATTCGTGTGTCAGAGGGGCGTGTGGCACTGATGGCGGTGACGTTGCTGCCTGGAATCAATATGGGGGAGACGACAGGGGAGACAACCTTCTGTGGCAGGGGGCAGCAAGGTCCAGGGTGGTGTGCCATTGTACCCCCTACCAGCTACCACACACACACACACACACACACACACACACACTACACACACACACACACACACACACACACACACACAGAAGTTGGAACATGCTTTCCAGTCGTCTCTCACTAGCGTAGGGGGGGCAAATGCAGGGGAGGAGGAAGACAAGACTTCCCTCTAACCATCAAGTAGGGCACCTTGGCATACCTCCCCCTCTAATCCTCTCCCCCTCCCATCATGACATCCATATTTTGACTCGACTCTCCACTCACTCTTCAGCTTCCCCATCCACCCCCCCTCCCCCCCACACACACACCCACACCCCCCACACACACCCCACCCCAATCACTGTTTCACTACCACACAACCCCTCCATCCTCCCTCCTTATTCCCTCCTCCCTAACCATCACCACCCTCCCTCCCGTCCACACAGACTCCTTCCTCCTACCATCCACCTCCTCCCCACCCTCCCTTATCCTCCCCACCCCCCACCCCCACCCACACATCTTTATATCTCTGCCTCCTCCATATGCCTCCCCCATCCTGTATATCTGATTAAATCCGCCTTGAAACACACAGACAGACAGGCAGACACACAGACACACACACACACACACACACACACACACACACACACACACACACACACACACACACACACACACACACACACACACACACACACACACTTCCTTATTTTAGAGAATTTTGAGGAAATTGTCTTAACCTTGAAAGAAACGACAAAATCAATATTTTCTTGGGTTGTTCTGCTGACGAAACTCACCCACAAGTACTGACCTTGTGGTGGTGTGGTAGTGTGGTAGATTGATGGTGTGGTAGTGTGGTGGCGTGGTGTGTGTGTGGTGATATGTTAGTTTGATTGTGCAATAGTATGGTTGGTGGTGGTGTGGTAGTGTGTTGGTGATGTGGTAGTGTGGTGGCGTGGTGATGGGGTAGTGTGTGGTGTGGTGGCGTAGTGATGTGGTGGCGTGGTGATGTGGTAGTGTTGTGGTGTGTAATGTGGTGTTTGATGATATGTGTGGTGTGGTGGTGTGGTGGTGTGGTGGTGTGGTGATGGGGTAGTGTGGTGGTGTGTGTGGTAGTGTGGTGGTGTGGTAGTGTGATCTGTGGTAGTGTGGTGGTGTAGTAGTGTGGTGGTGTGGGTAGTGTGGTGTGTGTGTTGGTGTGGTGGTGGTGTGTGTGTGTGTAGTGTGATCTGTGGTGTAGGAGTGTGTTGGTGTGGTGGCGTGGTAGTGTGGTGGTGTGGTGGTGTGGTGGTGTGTTGGTGTAGTGGTGTGTGGTGTGGTGGTGGGGTGGTGTGGTGGTGGTGGTGGTAGTGTGTGGTGTGGGTGGGGTGTGTGGGTATGGTGGTGTGGTGGTGGTGGTGTGGTAGTGTGGTGGTGGTGTGTGGTGGTGTGGTGGCGTGGTAGTGTGGTGGTGTGGTAGTGTGGTGGTGTGTTGGTGTGGTGGCGTGGTAGTGTGATGGTGTGGTGGTGTAGTAGTGGGGTAGTGTGTTGGTGTGGTGGTGTGGTAGTGTGGTGGTGTGGTGGTGGTGGTGTGTGGCGTGGTGGTGTGGTGGTGTGTTGGTGGGTGGCGTGGTAGTGTGATGGTGTGGTGGCGTGGTGGTGTGATGGTGTGGTGGTGGTGTGGTAGTGTGTTGGTGTGGTGGTGTGGTGGTGTGTGTGGTGTGTTGGTGTGTGGTGTGGTGGTGTGGTGGTGTGGGGTGTGTTGGTGTGGTGGCGTGGTGGTGTGGTGGTGTGGTGGTGTGGTGGTGGTGGTGGTGTGGTGGTGCGTGGTGTGGTGGTGTAGTGGCGTGGTGGTGTGGTGGCGTGGTGGTGTGGTGTGTTGGTGTGGTGGGTGGGTGGTGTGCGTGGTAGTGTGGTGGTGTGTGGTGTGGTGGTGTGGTGGCGTGGTGGTGTGGTGGTGGTGTGGTGTGGTGGTGTGGTGTGTGGTGGCGTGGTTGGTGTGGGTGGTGGCGTGGTAGTGTGGTGTGTGGGTGTGGTGGTGTGGTGGTGTGGTGGTGTGGTGGTGTGGTGGTGTGTTGGTGTGTGTGGCGTGGTGGTGTGGTGTGTGGTGGTGTGGTAGTGTGGTGGTGTGATGTGGTGGTAGTCTAGTGTTGTTGTGGTAGTGTGGTGGTGTGATTGTGTGGTGGCGTGGTAGTCTGGTAGTGTGGTGGTGTGGTAGTGTGGTGGTGTGATGTGTGGTAGTCTAGTGTTGTGGTAGTGTGGTGGTGTGATGGTGGTGGTGGTGTTATTGTTGAGTAGTTGTGTGGCGTGGTAGTGTGGTGGCGGTGTGGCGTGGTAGTGTGGTGGTGTGGTAGTGTGGTGGTGAGTGTGGTAATGTGCCAGTGTGGTATTGGTTTAGTGTGATAGTAATTTAGTATGATATAGTGGGTGTGGTGGTGTGGTTGTATGGTAACGTGATACTGAAGCAGAATGGTTGTGTGGTAGAACCAGAGTGTATCCGACGTCATCAGAGAAGGCAATTAGGTCATGTTACAGGCGCCAGAGTAATTTTGACACCATTAAGGGGGAAATTTAACATAAAGTCTTTGAGAATCGAATTTATACATAGCGAGTCAGATACGTTCTTACAATACCAACTAAGATGTAATTTTATCTTAGTAACTTGTCAGAATCGTTTTTGTGAGTCGTAAGTTAAAAAGAAATGGTTATTTGCGTTATTTACACCTCCAGTGAGAATATAAATTTAACGAACGAATCTTAAACAGAATCCGGATCGTGAAATGTAAACAAACAGTTGCCCGATAGCCATAATTCTCTCCCATTTTTCAGATCTTGTTTACTCCTCCATTATTTTGTCTGCTGGTGTGTGTTTGTGTCTCCATCATATTATTTTCAAATGTGTACAGTTGTCTTTACCACCACTCATTATTTTGTTATTATTTCTACCATTAAACGTTTTTATTATTATTATTATTATTATTATTATTATTATTATTATTATTATTATTATTATTATTATTGCTGCTGTTATAATTTGTGGTTGTTATTGTTGTTATTGTTATTAAAAATTGTTGTTATTATTATTAGAGATTGTTGTTCTTATTATTAGAGATTGTTATTGTTATTATTATTAGAGATTGTTGTTGTTATTATTATTAGAGATTGTTGTTATTATTATTAGAGATTGTTGTTATTACTATTAGAGATTGTTGTTGTTATTATTATTAGAGATTGTTGTTGTTATTATTAGTAGAGATTGTTGTTATTATTAGTAGAGATTGTTGTTGTTTTTATTATTAGAGATTGTTGTTATTATTATTAGAGATTGTTGTTATTATTAGTAGAGATTGTTGTTGTTATTATAATTAGAGATTGTTGTTATTATTATTAGAGATTGTTGTTATTATTAGTAGAGATTGTTGTTGTTATTATTATTAGAGATTGTTGTTGTTATTATTAGAGACTGTTGTTGTTGTTATTATTAGAGATTGTTGTTATTATCGATGATTGTTCTTGTTGTTATTATTAGAGATTGTTGTTGTTATTATTAGAGATTGTTGTTATTATTATTAGAGATTATTTTTATTATTATTAGAGATTGTTGTTATTATTAGTAGAGATTGTTATTATTAGAGATTGTTGTTATTATTAGGGATTATTGTTGTTATTATTAGAGATTGTTGTTATTATTATTATTAGAGATTGTTGTTATTATTAGTAGAGAATGTTGTTATTATTATTAGAGATTGTTGTTGTTATTTTTAGAGATTGTTGTTATTATTATTAGAGTATTGTTGTTATTATTAGAGATTGTTCTTGTTATTATTAGAGATTGTTGTTATTATTAGTGGAGATTGTTGTTGTTATTATTATTAGAGATTGTTGTTATTATTATTAGAGATTGTTGTTATTATTAGTAGAGATTGTTGTTATTATTAGTAGAGATTGTTGTTGTTATTATTATTAAAGATTGTTGTTATTATTATTAAAGATTGTTGTTATTATTAGTAGAGATTGTTGTTATTATTAGTAGAGATTGTTGTTATTATTATTATTAGAGATTGTTGTTATTATTAGTAGAGATTGTTGTTATCATTTCAGATTGTTGTTGTTATTATTAGAGATTGTTGTTATTATTAGTAGAGATTGTTGTTATTATTGTTTGAGATTGTTGTTATTATTATTAGAGATCGTTGTTATTATTTGAGATTGTTGTTGTTATTATTAGAGATTGTTGTTATTATTAGTAGAGATTGTTGTTATTATTATTAGAGATTGCTGTTATTATTAGTAAAGATTGTTGTTATTATTTGAGATTGTTGTTATTATTAGAGATTGTTGTTATTATTAGTAGAGATTGTTGTTGTTATTATTATTAGAGATTGTTGTTATTATTATTAGAGATTGTTGTTATTATTAGTAGAGATTGTTGTTATTATTACTAGACATTGTTGTTATCATTATTAGAGATTGTTGTTGTTATTAGAGATTGTTGTTATTATTTGTAGAGATTGTTGTTGTTATTATTATTAGAGATTGTTGTTATTATTAGTAGAGATTGTTGTTATTATTAGTAGAGATTGTTGTTATTATTA